CGCTCGGGCGGCGGCTCCGTGCGGGGCTGGCTCGGCCCGGGCAGGGATGGGCTGCTGTGGGGCAGGGATGGGCTATGGGGCAGGGATGGGCTGCTGTGGGGCAGGGATGGGCTGCTGTGGGGCAGGGATGGGCTGTGGGGCAGGGATGGGCTGCTGTGGGGCAGGGATGAGCTGCTGTGGGGCAGGGATGAGCTGCTGTGGGGCAGGGATGGGCTATGGGGCTGGGATGAGCTGTGGGGCTGGGATGTGCTGTGGGGTAGGGATGTGCTGTGGGGCAGGGATGGGCTATGGGGCTGGGATGAGCTGTGGGGCTGGGATGTGCTGTGGGGCAGGAGCGCCGTGCCTGCCTCGGGCAGCTCTGCCAGTGCTGCTCTGATCTCTGCCTGCACAGGCCCCTTCTGCACACCCTGATAAACCAGCCTAGCCGGGCTGCTCTTCTGGGGGACACCTGCCTGCTGGCATGGTAGCACTGGCACCCTCCCACACGGGGGTCCCAACACCTGCACACAAAATGTGAGCTGTATATTGTTTTCATTTCAATTCTAGTACATGTTTTATTTAGCCAAACACAGTGGGAGACAGCTGACACTCCAGCGTCACACAGGTTCTGCAGATCTCCTAGCCACTTTCTATGGGCCTCTTGAAAAGGTAGAGATTATATAAATATTGTAATTTTGGTTAAAAGTAAGCAAATGAATTTTTTTTTTGCTCTCCCCCTTGTCATTCGGAAGGGACTTAGGAATAGCAGGTTTCAGCCATGCAACAGGTAAGACCCAAAAGCCACACTTTTTGGAATAAGAATGGGTATTTTTTGGCATTTGTGTCTGTGGGAATGTACCAAAATGGGCATCCAGGTTCCTCTGTTTGGCTACAGAGTGATGCCAGCTCAGAGGAGGGGCATTTTACCCCCATAGGTAAAACTGGGGGTGCTCCAAAGAGCCCTGGAATTAATCTAGTCAGTGAATAATTAGCTGATTGCCTGAGGCACTGCTGCAGACATTGGTACAAGCTCCTGTACCTGCCTTCACTGTGGCAGCTCAGCTCTGGCAGGGAGCCCAGGATGGCCCGAGGCAGGAGTAGTGGCCCTGCAGGGATGGATTTTTGGGGATGAACACAGGCTGGAGGCTGGGCTGGGAGCAGCACCCTCCCCAGGGAGTGCACGGCCAGGAAACTGCATTGAACACAGAGATGACCAGCAAACCTGAGAGACTGGGCCATTTGTCCAGTTATCAGAACACTTCTAATTTCTGCTGTAAAATCTACTTCATCAAATCCTTCTCTCACAAGGATGCATTTCTATACGTGGATGTGCATTTGGAGGTGAAATACATCCAAAGCAAAATGTGACCTGGCCCGGCAGAGCAGAACCTGTGGGGACACTGATGTGGCTGCCAGCATGCTGGGCTCAGGTGAGGAAGGGCCTTGCAGACTTGCATGTCCCACTGCATTCAAGCTGCTATTTGAGCTATTTTCTTCTTTTTCAGAAGAAAATACATTCAAGTTGAGCATCAATCTTGAATCTACTGCTGAGCCTCAGGCAATGGGTTAGGCCAAGTAAAGCATAGGGATAATTTAAAGGCATAAAGGTCTAAATGTCTCAACTCTGAGAAGAAGAATGAAAGAGGAAGAATGAAAATTGGGAAAAAAATATGTCTTCTTCTTAAATTTACTGTTTGCCTCTTACTTTACCATTGAAATGGAGAAGCCACTGAGAGAAGGCCAATATGGGATCAAATTTGGGCATTAAACCCACTCAGTCCTTTCGGATGTACGGAAGGAAAATTATGTGTCAGCAAAACAGAATCAGCACACACACAAAAAAATCTTCTTGTTAATTTTTTATTATTGACTACTGACATACTCTTTTTTACCTTCTTAAGTGGTACAGCCAGATTCAGAAGAGAATCAGGCTCTTTTGAACCATAATGAAGCATAAATTATGTCAAAGTCAGAAACAAGCAAGGACTCAGGGCACAGCGATGTTCTTGCACATTGAGAATTGGAAGGGTTGGCACTGACCCCGAGCAGAGCTGTTACACTTTTGCCTGCTAATGTTTTATAGGACACTGTGATAATTTTTTATCCAGTGCTGCTGACATTCAAGGCTCATTAGCAGCAAACCTTCCCAGAGACTCCAGCCCTGACAGGGATGTGGGCTTCAGGTTTGCTGCTGGGATGATGGACCTGTGAGCTGTTCTATTCCCCAAGATGTCCTGTTGGGGCAGGTGGGCTGCTGTGCTTCTCCCCCATCCTCTCCAGCGGGGCTGGAGGTGCAATGCCAGCACTTGTGCTCTGTTGGTCGGGTTTAGCCCCAGAAAAGGGAGGCTGTCTCTTTTTGCACCGGGACTCCCGTGCCACTGGGAGGCAGGACACACCTCCAGCTGCAGCACGTCACAGAAAACATCCACACGCCTGCTGCTGATGGATTTTCCAGGACAAAATGTTGTGGTATGCTAAAAAAAATCATCATACTAGAGTAGCAATGAGTCCTTTTTGGTTTTTTGTCTCACTAACCTCAGGGGAACAAGAGGGATTTGGCAAGTGAGACAGCTACAAAACCTGTTCAGCAGTGGTGCTGGATGTGCAGGTGCTGTTTCCTGCTGGAGGCAGTTGTCACACTGTCCCTTCCCAGCTCTCAGTGCAGCCCTTCCCCAGGGAGCCCCTGAGCAGCCATGCACACACAGCTGCTGCATTTCTCCCTGCACACACAGCTGCTGCATGTCCCCCTGCACACACAGCTGCTGCATGTCCCCATGCACACACAGCTGCTGCATGTCCCCCTGCACACACAGCTGCTGCATGTCCCCATGCACACACAGCTGCTGCATGTCCCCCTGCACACACAGCTGCTGCATTTCTCCCTGCACACACAGCTGCTGCATGTCACCCTGCTGTGCAGGGGCAGAACAAAGAGCTGAGCTCCCCTTGCTTTGGATGAAGATGCTCCACAAGGTTTCTGTGTTCTGTTTGCAGGTTTTCTGCTGCAGTGTGATTTGGTATGCAGACTGTGCAATCCACTGAGGTGGAGCACATGCACCAGTAGCCGCACAGAGATATTGCTATGGGCCTCCTAGCAGAGAGCTTTGGATATGACTGGGGGTGAAAACTACTTTACCTGGGTCCGTATCCTACCAGGGACAACTTGCCATAGCATCTCAGGTGTGAGAAATTTCCCCTTCTGTTAAAGCTGAGGTGTTTCATATCAAAACCCACACAGTTCTAGGTGTCTGCAGTAGGCTCAGGAAGATTCACTGAAGATACTCTCACCAAAATCTGCAGCCTGCAAGTGTACCATAGCCAAGAGGCACCAAGCATGTTTCCCTGCAGCACCCAGGAGCTGGCATGGTGAGCACATGTCTCGGACCCCACAGAATTTACAAAAATCAAGGTTGGGTGCATGGAGCTCTTTCTCCATTCAGGGAACACACTGGTCAGCCCAGTGGCAAAGGCAGCTTTGCCAGGTTTTCACTGTCCAAAACTCCCGAGTCATCTGGCCCTTTCAGCAGAGCCAGCTGTACAGGGTTACAAGACAAAAGTTATTTCCTCAGAGCTTTCTGATGCATCAAAAGGTCTGTGCCTGCTCCAGTCTGCTTCCAGAGGAGCAGCAGGCATGGGATGAGAGGAGCAGATGTCTGCAGCTACAGCTGGGGTAAGCTAATTGCTGAGCTGGTAAGTGTCCCCTGCCCAGCCAAACCTGCCAGCTGCAGGGTCAGCAGCAATATTATAATTACACACAGTGTCACACACTGTGGGTGCTGTCACTGCTCCAGTGCCTGATCTGCTTGCTGGAGAAATAGACCCATAATGTTCCCCACATGTTATCCCCAGCACAGGGGCACCTACACTGTTATTTCAGGCTGGTTCCAAGCCCAAGAAAAATTAATGGGTGCTGTGGGCTTCATCTGAGAGCTCACATTTGTTTCACCTCTCTGCCTGCAGCCTGAACCAGGCAGGAAGCACTGGAGGGGTTCCCAGGAGGTGACAGCAGGGCTGATGCTGGCCAGCAACACTCCCCATAGACACACAGCCCTTCTGACACCTCTGGAAAAACAGACTGAGTCATCTCATGTTTGAAGCATCTCACAACAGTTTTCCTTTCTTCCCACAGCCTCCAGCAGCAGAGTGGGGACATGTACACAGATTAAATGTTTTTTTTTTTCCTCTCTCAGTTATTTCTGAGACCCTGTTGAGCTATAGGGAAGTGAAGGACCTCAAAGCAAAAGGTGTGCTAAGTTATTTCCCTGTTGACTTTCTGACATTCTCAGCTCTGTATTTTGAAGCAAAATTTGGGGAGCGGGAAGACTGCTCCACAGGTTTTTGCATCTTACTGCCAGAAGAAAGGTGGCTTTAGGGACTAAGTGATGACAGAAATGCTGGGGATTGTGTTTCTCTTGCTAATGCAAGAATCATGCCTGGTCTGTCTCTCATTACACCCCTGGGTGTCCAGAGAGGGCCCAGGCTCTGCTGCAGCCTTCCAGGAGAGCTTTGGTGTACCTGCTTGTCCATCACAGCTGCTGGTGTGTGCTTTAATAGCAGGGTTCTTGCACTGTATCAGCTTTCATTTAGAAATTTAATTTTCCTGAGAGAAATTACCAATTCTGGAATTGAAATTCCAGATACACAGAGCAAGAGTGTAACTCGCCCCATGTTACGAGATGAATTGCTGCCCAGCAAAGGGTGACTCTGTGCCCTGGAGATGATCATTGGGCTTTTGGGGCAAACCAAAGGAAATGGGCTCTGTCCTCCTCAGCAGTGAGGAGAAAACCAAGAGGCAGGCGAGGGGCGGGCGGGTTTCTCCTGGGCAGCGATTCGTGCGGCGGGGAGGCCAGCTCCGCTCTGGAAGGCGAGCCCCCGCATGAATAAATAAATGATGGTCCTGTCTCGGCACCTGCACAGCTCGGGCCAGCCCTCCGGGGCCGGCAGCCGACCCGCGCTGGGCCGGGCTCCCGCTGTCCCGGGCTTTAAAGGGCAGGGCAGGAGCGGCTCCGCAGGCAGGGGAGATGGAGGGCAACGCGCACCTCCTGCAGCTCACCCGCAAGATGCGCTCCCAAATCAACAAGCTGGAGAGGGAGAACAGGGCCCTGAAGGGAGAGCTGCGGGGCTGCGGGCACACGGCGCTGCCGGCGCCGGGAGACGCGAGCGGCGGTGCGGGGAGACGGGAGCCCGCTCCTGGTGCGGAGGGACCGGCGGCATCCCCGGCATCCCCGACATCCCCGGCATCCCCAGCATCCCTGCAGGGAGGCGCCGCGGCCGCCCCAGCGCCGAGGGAGCAGACAGGTACCGGGCAGGGCGGCTGTCCGGGCACCCCTGGCACTGCCCGTGTGCCAGCCCGCAGGGAAGGGAATGAGCTGCCAGCTGCCTTCTGCTGGGCTCCATGGACGTGCCCTGGCCCCATTCTGTGCTCACACCAAACCCACAGCGCTGCATGCCTTGCTCTGGGGGCTTTTCAGGGTGCGTCCCCCCATAGCTGAGCTCGGTGGAGTATTTTGCTGCTGCTCAAACAAAGGATTCAACGCAAAGAGTTCAGTTTGCTTAAGCAGAATTTGACTTTCTGCTTTGGGTTTTTGCAGGCATGGACTCTCCTCCACATGCCTCTCCCCTCTCTGTTCTAGGCAGAAAAGGGCCAACACTCTTAACCATGCCATAACCCATCCTGCCTTAGTCAAAGATGAGAAAAATGCTACAAAAAATAACGGGTTGGCTGCATACATCACGCCAGATGTGCAGTTTATTTTTGCAGATAACGCGTTTTTTCCTTGTTGAGGCTGAGAGGGGTCAATATAAAGGAATACATTCTCCTCAAAATTTTGGAGAGGAGAAAAATGGAAATATTCCTCAGTTATAGAAGTCTGGTTGGGACTTCTAGAGGAATTAAAGCGGGATGAAGATGCAGGAATGAAGCAGGAATCAGAGCAAAATGTGGCTTGGTGAGAAGTATTGGAGAAATGGCCCCACAAGTTTTCATGGAGACAAATCTGTGTGATGGAATAAGATGAGGGGCTGAGCAGCACGGGTGGATTTTCATGCAGCCAGGTGATGAAGAGTGGTTGTTACCAATCCCACTGACCCAGTGGCCAGGTTACCAGCCTGAAGACTCCAGGCAGGGGCTACTGGTGCTAGGGATGTCATCAGTTTGGGAACAGCTCCAGCAAGGGGAAAGCTGTGGAAAGTGCTTTCTAACCCCGTGGCCCTTCCTCTCCAGCCGCATTCCAGGGCAAAGGGTGGGATCTAAAGGGACTGTCTGGCCTCCTCTGCCTCTCAGCTTCACCACATACAAAATGGTTTTGAGCCTCAAAAAAGTGATTTAAAATAGAATGGTAGATCATTTGGGGTTGGAAGGAACCTTAAATATCATCTAGCTCTAACGCCTCTGCTATTGGCAGGGACACCTTCCAAACCAGACCAGGTTGCTCAAAGGCTCATCCATCCTGGTCTGGAATACTTCCAGGGTTGGGGCATCCACAACTTCTCTGGGCAACCTGTGCCAGTGCCTCACCTCCTAAAATCTTGTGTCCCCTCTTTTAGCTCAAAACTGCTACCCCTTGTTCTAGCACTATCTGCCCCTGTAAAAAGTCCAAAAATACACTGAGGGAATCTGAATTGTCATCATTATTAATAGTATTAATATTGGTTTTATCCCTGTTTTTTTCTCTGCTCCTCAGGTACTGCCATGACTGTGAGACGCTACCCCACCGCCTCCCCAGCTCCCGCTCCTTCCAGCACAAGGGCCCACTGGGCTGGCAGGAAAAGCACTGGGCTCCCGGAGGTGCCAGGCAGTGCCCAGCCACCAGCCCCTCCTGCTGCAGCACAGCTCAGCAGGGAAGAGGAGGAAGGGCTTGGAAAATCACCAGCCTGTTGTCCCTCCTCCAGCCACTCCAGCAACATGAAGCTGTTTCAGGAGCACGTCTATGAGTGCCAGTAGGTTTGGTTTGCCTTCTCAGCACCACCTGCCTGGGCTGCTCACAGGTTTCACCTGACTAGATACATGGACTTTGCTCTGGGTTTTAGTATGTTATCAGCAAAACAGTTGTTTGAATGTGTACGGGCCCTGAGCAGACTGGAGACCTCTCTGGAGGAAGCTGTGATCCTCCCTGCACTGCATGAGTTTTGGCAGGGGTAGCTGGTTAAATTTATTATAGAAAGGAGAGGCTGAGGGAGAGAGAAGGGGGTTGAAATCTTTGCTCTGTTAAAGCCAGGCAGAGTTTTGCAGATTGAGCTGATGTTCTGACAAGCTAAGCTTGAAAGGGATTTTTAAACTTTGAACAAAAGGCACAGAAATACCAAGGAACTCTGCACTGTGCCTTTAGAAGTGTGATTACTGTGATTCATGAATTTAGATGTATTGTATCATATTTCCCCTGTAACTGAAGCATTACAAGCTAATGATTTCAGCCTTGAAAAAACTAGTCTGAGGACAGCTTCTAAATTAAGTGAAATGGCTGCTGGACCAGCCGTGAGTGTCTCTGCTCATTGATGAGAAGCTTTCCAGCACAGGACAACCACCACAGGTGGAACCAGCAGTAGTGAGAGTGTGACATATGATGGCCCAGCCACACCCTGTTGCTGACATACCCACCTTGGGAATTCATGTTGATTCCTGGCTTCAGCCCAACCATGCTGCGCTCAAAAGGACAATCACCCCGCATGCCCTCAGAGCAGGAGTTTGAGCAGGGACAATCCGAGGCCCTGCCTGCCCATGCACATGCTGGGACAGGACTCCAGTGGCCACCCCGGGGGCTGGCAGCTGCTGTGGCTTGTGTCACCTGTGTGGAGGTACCTGTGCGTGGCACAGCACAACAGCTTTTATTCTGTCCCCTTAAATCCTCCGTGCCCAGCACTTGCACATCCTGTGCAAAGCCAATTTGGGGCTCAGCTCCTCTCTGAGAGGCTGCAGGGGACAACAAGGTCAAGCCTTCAGAGGCACCGGGGTTTTCTTGTAAGGACATTTCAGGGTCAGGCGTTTTACAGCAGTTGGACACCTAAATGTAGTGGCTGGTATCATTTTGCAAAGCACCCTGACCCTGTAACTCTGGGTTTCTGTGTAACTCTGGGTTTCTGTAACTCTGTGTTTCTGTGCACCCCCGCTGGCCCCAGGGACACTCTGGGTGCACATGGACCCTTTGGGGGCTTGCCCTGGAGCCAGCTCACCTGGGAGGTGTGCGTGGGATGGCAGTGGCAAACACTGCTGCTTGCTCACGAGGAGAAAGAGCTTCCAGAGCAGTGAAAGCAGCAGCACAGATCTGTCACACGGAGTGCCTGGGGAGCTGCCGGTGCCCGTGGCCAGAGACAGCAATGATGTTTTATCTGAGCTGCCTGTGGAGCTGAGCACTGACTCACGGGCACTCAGTGCTGGCTGCTTCGTGAGGAGAAGTGGCCGTGGGAAGAGCTCTTCACCTCACCCCCTCGGCAGGCTGGGTGACATCCTGAAGCACAAAGCTTTGTGCTTCTTACACACAAAAAAAAATTCAGTATCTTTTATGGTCTTAATAGTGGCTGCTCTGTTATATACTCACATGTCTGACACAGACACTCATCTTAGCTTTTCACCAGTAAGGTAATTTCTAGCAATTAGTTCAGCAGGCTTATTAAGCTTAATTTTTTACAAGGATGACATTTTTGCTTTCCAGCATGCTGCTTCATGTCAGGTTTTCCTATTCTTAGTTTATTGTGGCTTCCTCACATTTTGCTTCAAAGCTATAATCCTGTATGTGATATGAATATTTTTGCTTTAAAATTAACTCTCTAGAAGTATCACCTTGAATTTTTATAGAGTGCCGTTTCACCCAAGTAATAAAAAAACAGCACTGCTAACAAATCATCTCTAATTTCCACATCTAGAATCTTTTAATTCATATATGCTAAAGTATTATTTCTACCAAGGGACTCCCACTGTGTTTGTTAAATGAAAAAAATTATTCAATATTTAAATACAGGATAAAAGAGGCTGAGAACTCTTTCCAGGGCTATTATGCTAAAATGACTGAAGGGTCTCTGTGGGTGCATGTGCACCCCCAGGGTTCTGTGCACACACAGCTTTGGACAGACAGGCCAGGCACTGACAGGGAGATGTGAGACTCGATGGAAAAAGGCAGATGCTTCCAGCAGAGAGCACTGTGCTTGGTCCTTTGGGATGGCCATGTGAATGGCATGACATCCTGCCTCCAGTAGCATGCAAGACTTGAAAGCATTTACTTTTTCCTTGCTGGATTGGTATTTTGGGGTTTTTTTTTTTTTTTTTACTTTCTCTGCATGCTTTATACATTTGTTATCCTCATAATGATTTCTCATTTTTTCTCCAGGGGTAAAGTGAAGGCTGTGAGTTTCCTCTTACCAACAGATATGTCATCATTTGCTGAAAAGCAAAGTTCTCTCAAAAGCCCACAAAATCAGAGCGCGAAACATCTGATGACCCATCACTGAAAAGAATATGTGAGCTGGTGAATTTTTAAAGGCCCACTGATTCCTGAGATCAATTTGCCTTAAATGATAGCTGTGTGTCAGGTTCCCCTCCTGCAAAACGTTGTGGCAGGATGCCCACAGAGCGTCACCCAGCCGCGGTTTGGGTCACTGGCCTGATGTTCAGCATGGAAATGGGAGCCAAACAAAGCCAGCTGGAAGCCCAGACACTGTGATGAAACCACACAAAGCAAAGGTGCCTGCACAAAGTGCTCCTGTGCAATGTGTTCAAGGAGCCCTTACCTCAGGACTGATGAGAACAGGGTGCTGAAGCTGGGTTTGCTGTGTTTGTCACAAAAAGCAGAAACCGTGTCACCACTTGTGTTTGCTGATTCCCTTGACAGAAAGATGTCTGATGCAAATGACAAAATAAGAACTATCAAAGAGCCTGTGAGGTTTTCTCTGTAGGTAAAACTTTCAAGCTTCACTAATCAGAAAAGTTAAGGAGGTATTACAGAGTCAGTTAATGTTGCCCTGAATTTCTGCAAAGCTTGGCAATGTCCTTTTGGGGTTCACTTCTAACAGAGCACAGAGGAGAGTGAGTACTTATCGCTATGAAAGTGAGACTACAAATCTGCTTCTCACACGGTGTGCTCATCCAGCTGGAGACTAAAGGCTGGACACCAAGTCAAAACAGGAAGAACTGTGAATATCAGAATTTTTTAGGACTGGCTTCTCAGCACAGCTCAGACTAAAAATCATTAGCAGAAATTCAGCAAGCAAGTACAACATAACTGCGAGATAGAACTACAGACAGCTTGCAAAAAATGAGCAGTGCTTGTTAGTTTAATCATACAAGTGAAGATAACATTCCCAGTGTTTATTTTGATTACAACTATTTATGGAATCAAAATACTGCACACTGCTATTTCTTTCTGTACAGGAAGCACTGATGATTGAATATTGTATAACGAATACATGAATAGTAGATGTTTGTACAGATAACCTTAAGGAAGATTTTCATCTCATTGTCTGCTCTTAAAGTCTTGAGTTCTCTAAGGTGGAAGCAGAGACTTACTAGAAAAAAAAACCCTCTGGATTTTCCATGATGTATACTACTATGAAATACTGTGTTTCTTTTTTTCATTTTGAATTTCACCACAGTTTTTATATTCAAGTGTGGTTTTAATTTATTTTCACCATTGCAGTAATAATTTCAATTTCACTGCTATTTTATTTGTGTATATTTATGTTCAGCTTGGATCCATACAGTGTTGCATTGTAATGTGAGAAGTAATGAATTAATGCAAATGAGGTTCCAGTTTGGAAACAGCCCATTTCAGAAGGCTTTACAGGGAAGGTTTTATAAATGTTTTAAGGAAAGCATTGTTTGTGGGAATTAAACACTGCATATGTGTTCAATTAAGCACCTAAATTCAATTGTTTCCCTCAGGAAAGTAACAAAAGTCTGTGAAAAATCTGGCCCCTGGACCTTTAAGGTACCCAAACTTTTACAGTTAAGGTTGTAACACCAGATTTAATGGGATTTGGGAATCCATATGCTTTAGAAAGCTTTCAAAAGTCTCAACTTCTTAATTTTTCTAAGCCTCAGCTTCCATGAAGCAGCAGTGGGAATTTCCTTCTCCCACCCTTTTTGTGTCAATTCACTGTAGATATGTGACTGACACAAAGACTGAGCACTTTTGTAGGCCTAGAGGAAAAGGAGAAGAGAAAAGGTGGAAAGGAAAAGAGGGACAGGAATCAAAGTAATCACTGACAAATGGCAGCCGGTATATTAATGAAAAGATTTATTTTTGAATTATATTTTTGCATTCTTTAGAAGTGCCTACAGATTTAAGAACACATGATGATGCACAGGCACATTAATTTTTAGAAGCAGTTGTGCAGATCTGACCCAGCTCTGCACCTCCAGGAGGACCAGATTGCAGCAGCTGCCACAGAGAAACCACTGAGCACACCATTTGTACCACAGGACAGCATGAAGGAACGTACCACGGAGCACTTACTGGCAATTAAAACATCCCAATATTAAACAGCCAGAGATTGCTCAGAGCAAGAAGGGCAAATTTAAGCAAAGCAAGTGTTCAATGGATCTCTTCTGGAGGAAGCTGAGCCAGAGCATGTGCTTATGAGGTGCTCCAAAAGCTAACAGGCGTTCATTGCACAGGACCACACCTGGCAAACCCCTGGAACACCTCTTCAGTGGAGAACAGCACCGATGGCTTCACTCTGTGCATCCTCCTCTGCTGCTCTAATTGCACTAATTGTTCCTCTAGACTGAGCTGCCCAGAGATTTGGAAAAAAAAAATCCAACCAGGTGAAATTTCATCTGGCTGTACTATAAAGAGGAGGAGATGCCTTTCATCAGTCTTGGCTCTCTGTCAGTGCTTAAAGAGCCTTGCTCTTGCTGCACACACAGAGGTGGAAATGTGATGCTCCAGACTGTCAGAGAGGAGTAACTTTATCACCTCCTCCAGTGAGTTCTTGCCCAGAGTTCACATTGGTCTCATGCCTGCATCCTTAGTCAATGAATCCACAGCCAAAGGTAATAAATCAGTGTGCAGGGCACATCTTCTGTCAAAGTCACCCACCTATTCCAAGCTCCATTTATAGGAGTGAGAGCACAATTTATGATGCACCAAATTGTCTGCAACCTTTATATCCACTGTATTTTTGCTCCTCTCTCTGAGATCCCTGACAAATGAGCTTCAATTTTTCTCTCCCATTTCTGCTCAGGCCTAATCTAAGAATATATTAGCACAGAAGTATTCCAGTTGGGCACCCTCTGATAATGCTCAGGTAATGCTGATCTCTCATGCTGTTGTTTTCAATGATGCTAGCAACATTAATTCCAGCACGGACTGTCTCCTTCTGCAGTCCTGAATGGTTTTTTTGTTGTTGTTGTTGGTTTTTTGGGGTTTTTTTTCTGTCGAGCTGGGGTGACAAAAATGAGACATAAACTTGAAACTCATTTGAAGGTCTCAAATAGGTTGCAGGCCTTGAACAGTCCTTCAGCATTGTGACAAATCTGATGCTTTGTAGCTCCACCATTTCCATGTCCTTCTGTGCGCAGTATGTATGGCTGGTTCAGAGATCATAGGTGCTCTTTTCTTCTGTTGGCTGCTATCAAGTACACATCATTCTCTCTTCAGGATGCAAAAATACACGTTGTTTTAGATCATTCTGCACTTCTACTTCCTAATGCCTTTACACAACCAAAGATTAGTCGAGAAATTAAGCTGTTATTGCAGTTAAAACACAGGTGGAATGCTGCTAACCATACATGGGGAAGTTGTTGGCTGTGCTGGAGTCAAGACAGATGGTCACTTCAGGGAATGTTTCTTTTATGGCAAGTGCTCATTTGAGTAGGAATATTTCTAGCTGGATGAGTCACCTCTTTCTCAATTGCTGCACCAGATACCAAAACATGATTTTTACACAAGGATATTCAAAGATGTGGCACAGGCTGAAAATGCATCTTCAAAGCATCCTGCAAGGGTTTCTTTCTTGACTGGAAGTATTGTATGGCCCATGTAGATGGATTAAAAAAATTTCCTCCACTGCTTTATTTTTACTGAAAACTGTGATGAAATGTCTTTTTTCTTCTTTTTTTTTTTTTTTTTTACAAAATCATGTGGTACTCATATACAAAATCAGTCCCATAACAGCAAAATGCACAAAATCAAAATAAAATTTCTCTGTTTAATGTAAAAGTAAGAAACTTAGAGTAAAGTGCAAAAATTAGAACGAACATTTCTATTCTGTGGCTCTTCAGCAGCAGGTTTGACTCTTCCCTGGTTTGGAGGACGAGGACCATCATCTGCATGCTGGTTGCCATGGAGACTCCCATCGCTTTTGGAATCACAAGTTTTGCCTGAAAGGGAACACTCCTGCACTGTGAGTTTTTAAGGACCAGAAAGGTTTCTGTTTGTCAGCACACCACATACTAGATTAACCACCACATCTAAGCAGGTGGGAGGGAAGGCAGTAAAATATTTTCCAGTAATTAGCGACAACATATTTAGTCTGTTTAAAATCCACAAAACACACAAATAGAACTACAAGACTTGCTGCATTAGATTAGGTTGTTATGGCATCAAATCTGTTATCTCAGTATCAGCTACTTCAAAGGAGAATGAACTTTGGTCACAGAACGTAAGCACGGCAATAAATCCTCCTGACTCCTGCAGCAGGCAGGACTGAGGTCTCTCTTGAGTCGGTAAGGCTCCTCCATAACTACATCTTTCCTAGGAAAAGATGTGTACATGAACACTTCATGGTCTGTCCCTGCGAAGAGATGTCTAACATTTATCCATTCTATCTGCACTCTCAGAAGGGCTCTGGGGTTTGACAGCTCTGTCAGCTTCTTTCTCACTAGTGCCAACCAACACCTGGGATTGCTCCAAAGGTGAAAGCTGTCTGGCCCTAAGGATTGTGTGGAAGGATAATGTGTATATGTTGGCATGAATGTCTGGCTTGACAAACTATGGTTATTTAGAAGATTAATGTAAAGAACTTGCAAGATTAAGCCTCAGTTACTTTCTAGTTCTGTCATCTTTGTGACACGGTAACTAAATAACTACCTGTTAAATCTCCAGCTTTCATCTGATTTCTCCTTTTGAAGCTGTTTTGTGCATCCGTGGGGCCATCAACATACTTCATTGCAATAGCTGGGGTCTGGTCCTTCTTTTGCTGGGTCTGAGTAGCTGAAAGAAGAACACAAAAGGACATTTAATTGGATTGTATTAATGTTCATTTGTTCAAGGAGGAAAATATGTGTTGAGTTGACTCTACCTGGCTGATGAGAACTTGGTACAGTTTCAATCTTGTCTTCTGGAAAGGACTGAACGGATTCATGGCCAGAATCTAAATCTTTCATTGGCCTTCCCATAATCTCATTCTCAGTTGCAGATTTATTTCTAATGAGGAAGTAGGTGTGCATTTTCCCTTTGCCTTTTACTTCTATTTCTCCTCTTTCAGTAATCTCAAAATTCTTGTATTTT